CAAGACACCGATCGACACAAGCGTTGGATTGGATTCATCGGAACCATTGGCGGCCAAAGACTTATCACTCGTTGTGTGGACACCAAAACACAACCTCTTCAGCGGATTGGAGACATTGGTTGCCATCGATTGGACAGTCGTCTCAACACATCTGTCGACTCTTCAACACCTTTCCATCGACTCCAACGGATCCCATGTCTTGAGGTATTCAATGTCTTGTGATTTAATACTTTGTCTTCTCTCTCGTCCTCTAATCTCAGCCATAGATTTGGATCAACTCTCACGAAGACTGACACCAATCCATACAAGCCTTCCATTGGTTCGTTGGACTCCACTTTGACCTCAAGAGGAACCACTCGATGGACCACTCGATGAACTACTCGTGAGGACGACTTCTGGACCAACACATGAGGGGAGGTATGAAATGTTGACAAATGTTGTCATTTTATTCATACTTTTCATTGAATTCATACTTTTATTCATTTATTAATTCATTCATTCATTTACTAATCATTTATTAATTATATTATTCTCTCAATACTAACACAAAAACCACACAAATATTTTCAATTCAATAATAAATGCATTTATTCTTAAATCCAAAACTTTGTATCAATTATTTGAATATATAAAACATAACATTGCATTCAAACAGTGATAACATTTTTAAGAATTAATAAAAGTTATAAATTGCAATATTCTAATCAAACTCAATATATAATAGAAATACATATACCGTAATAGCAAATCATTTATATATAGAAATAAAACTCTTGATAAACAGATCTTCAGTTGAACACAAAATTACATATTCTTTCGCAAATGATAGCAAAAATAATGATTATTTAATTCATAGACTTTTTCACATCTTTCTCCAGATTTACAAAAATAACTGTCCGTTCATTCAATGGCTGTTGTGAGCGATAGTTCTCTTCTACAGTGATATCACATTCGTTACAATGAGACACCTGTCCATTGGTTTGTCCATTGGTTTGTGCAAAATATGACAATTGTCTGAATGAGTCGAGCTATATGTGGAAAATGTATATTATTTTTCATTAATTTCATTTATAAGATAATTATTATATTTGCAAAACCAATACCTGTTGTTCAGTGCATAGGATTGGTTGTTTGAAAATGATCCAGTTAACTGTCTCCCAAAGTGGTGGTGTAGTGAGTGATCCGTTATAAGTCCAATACGATCGCTGTTTTGGCAATAGTTGCAACAAATCAATGGATTCATTGATCA